AATTCTGATTGTTTTGTGGCTCTTATAGTATTACCTTAAAGAAATAATTTAATTTCTCTGAACCTCAGTTTCTTCTTCTCTTATGTGGAAATCACTTTTGTGAGGATCAAATGATACAACATTTTCAAAAGCTTTGTGTAAACTCTCAAGTGTACTCTGAATCTTAAGTACTATAATACTGTTATTTATCACTCCAAGTTAATGTTCAGCTTCCATCTGAAGCATAGTGGCCTTTCTGATATACTTTGGGGCTTCTTTCTCTGTAATTCTGCTGAGCACAAAAATCTCTAGTCACACACTGAACACACTGATTTACCTTTTTCTTCAGTTTCCTGAGTTTCAATTTTGACCTCAGATAAAAGAGCTTCCTTTTCTCGAAGAGCTTTTTGCTCTGTGAGGTGCTGCCTCAGCAGTAGCCAAAAAGTAATGGTGAAAAGTATCTGAAAGCAGAGAATTAGCAAAACAAAAATTAAGCTACCATTTGACGTGTAAATACTTTTCAACAAGTACAATATTTTCTCCACATCTCAGTGGGAACACAATAAATAAACCCTTCTATTTGAGACAGAGTCAAGCACTTGTTTGATTTCAACAAAAAGTCACTGGCTTTTAAATCCCCTTTCCTGAGGACATTATCATGCAAGTTGAGTTCAAAGAGTACATTCAGCGCTGTGCAAGGCCCTGGGCAAGATGCACCAGGGTCCAAATTACTTTCATCTGGGCAGGAAATCAACTTTGGCAGTTGGTCTCCCTCAAGGTGCTAGTCATTGATTTCCTGTACTGACTGTGACATCAGCTCAATTGTAACATGAAGACATGTTAATTCTTCTATAATACTCATTTATTCTGCAGTGTTCCTTATTTGGAAGAATTCTACAGATAGGAAAAACATTTCATCCTAGAAAATATTCTCAATATTCCCAGTCATCTCCCAAAGTTGAAGAAAGAATTGTTCTAAGTGCCTGATATATTAATATTTGTATATTAATATTTTCTTGAGGGCTAGGGAAAAATTATGATTTTAGGAGCTCCATTCTTCAGGTACCAGAGGTCCTGGCACATAATAGTTTTTTGTGCTAGCTTTATTGAGATATGATTCACATGCCATACAATTCACCCATTTAAAGTATACAATTGATTGGTTTTTAGTACGCTCACAGACTTGCACAACTATCACTGCAATCAACTTTAGAGTATTTTCATTACCCCCAAAAGAAGCCCGATAGCCATCACCCCCTTTTTTTCTCACTTCAGCCCTAGGCAACCACGAGTTTTACATTTGGTCTTCTATAGATTGTCTAATCTGGAGTTTTCTATAGATGGGATTATATAATATGCACTTTATTGTAAGTGGCTTTTCTTCATAATGTTTTCAAGGTTTATTCATGTTGTAGCATATACTGATAGTTCACTCCTTTTTATTACCAAATAATATCTGATTGTATGGATAGACAACATTTAATTTATCCATACTTCAGCTGATGGACATTTAAATTGTCACAACTTTTTTTGTGACTATTATGAAAAACATTGCTATGAAAATTCATGTACAAGTTTTGGTGTGCACATAGGTTTTCAGTTCTCTTGGGAAATGGAATTGTTGAGTCTTATGGTAACTCTATATTTAACATTTTGAGGAACTGCCAGACTGTTTTCCAAAGTGGTTGCACTATTTTACATTTCCACCAGCAGTGTATGATAGTTCCAATTTCTCTATTTTCTCATTAACACTTGTTATTGTCTGTGTTTTGTTTTGTTTTTTGATTCTAGCCATCCTCGTGGCTATGAAGTAGTATCTCACTGTGGTTCATAGTGGGATTTAGCAAACATTTGTCAAAGAAATGAAAAAAATAAATATGCAAATGAATGGGTCATTGTCACTTTGAATAACTTTCTACTTAACTATCCATAAATATCCACTTATCATTTACCTTAAACATAAACCAGTGCCAATAAATCGTGGTAAACATGCCTAGGACCTAATGAAATCAAGAACCAGCATGGCTACACTTCTGAAAACCTGGTATTAAACTTCTGTAAGTCACAGCAAATTGAACTATAGTTGCAAGCTGGGAAAGAAATCTGTTTCTGTAATGAATGCATATGTAAAAATATAGGAATAACTGGGGGCAGGTGGGACATTTTTCCTAAAGAAGTGTGAGTTAAAAGCCAGGGTTTGAAGGCAACAGTTGATGTGGTTTGATTGAGCTGGGAATGAGACACTCTAGAAGCTGAAGGATGCTGCAAAGTAGCTGAGTCTGACTCCACTAGAGGGTCCAGAACTTTAAGGACCCAGGCTACATTCTTTCTTTGTTTCATTTTTTTTTTTATCACAGTGACTCATCTTGTACTCTACTAACAGAGTGTGTTTAATAATATGCTTTGACTAATGTCACAGTGATAGATTTTATGATCTTGGAGTTGTGTTGTTATTACCTATGATGAAGCCCTGCTTTTTTTTTTTTTTTACCTCCCAGGTACATTAAAATATAAGTCTGGATCCTAGTTTCCCCAGAATTACATTTTTTTCCAAGTAATAAATTTATTTCCCACAAAATGTCCCCTCCCAGCAAAGAATGGTTAATTTTAGATTAGACAGGAAGAGGTAATTCAACTAGTTAGCTGGCATGCATTTTTAGATGTCTCACCAATATTTTGAGCCAGGTTGCAGTGGAGTTACACAGCCAAAGGATAGGGTTTTGAATTTCTTTTATAAAAAAGACTAACTAACCTCTTTGTGTACATGTATGTGTGCTTAAGGGGAAACACAGAAAGGAGTGTCAGATAATGGTGACATATCAGTAAGAATATTATGTGGGACTTTAGGCATGGAGTAAAGTTTGGGAGAGAAGGTGGGACTAGGGTAGGCATGGGAGTTTCATATGAATGAATGAATAGGAAATGAATGAAGTTACCACAGCTCATAAACACAGGGGATTATGATCTAATTCCTGTCATTAGCATTCACTTGTTAGGAATTTTTTCCTTTACCCCAACAGGCTTCACCAAAAAACCTGTTATGAGAACCAATCCTCAGTGTAGTCTACTCAGCACCTCACTTATGCCTGATTGCCTTAGTTATGGGGTGTTTGGTGATCTGTAAAAATGGTGTTTGCTCTCAGAAAAGATGGATTTCATGTTTTGTAAATTAATGGGTTTTTTTTTAAAGATTTTATTGGGGGATTGGGGGAGGGGAACAGACAAGTTGCTGTCCTTTTGTTCCTCAGTCTAGTCGTGGAGGAGGTCGCTTCACTGGCCCATGTTGGCAACTATCATTGCGCTCTTCCCGGGTGAGGCAGATGGGTCGCCGGCCTCTGGACGGCCTCTCAGGGCAGCTCTTGGCAGCTCAAGCCGGCTGCCGGCCACTCACGCTGGCTGCCAGCCACCCATGGCAGCCTACGGCAGCCCACTGCAGCTTCACTGCAGACTACGCTGTCCCTGGCGGCTCACGGCAGCCCAACTCCAGGTCGAGCTGTTGTTCACCATCTTAGCTGTAGAGGGCGCAGTGTCACTGGCCCTCATGTGGGATCCCAACCGGGGCCCTGCTGCTCAGAGCTGGCATCCCAAGCCAACTCTTTACCAATGTGCCACTTGGCTAGCCCATGAATGTTTCTTTTAGAGAGTAATTTTCTGCCTAAAGGAAAAAGATTTTCAAGATGCATTCATTAATTACATGTGATTGATTTTACTGTCTTAACACAAAATCATCCACACAAAGAGAATGTGTGTTTAGAGTCTGCCACTCTGTTCACAAAACAGATAGAAAAGTTGGGGCACCTAATTTTCTGAATAAAACTATTAAAATGAACCATGAAAATAAATTGGTAGTGAAAGATTATGAACTTTCTAATTACAGATGAAGGCATATCATATAATCAGTAGAAGTAAAAAAAGCAAGTGTCATTTTAAATTTTGCTGCTAAAAGCCTTCTTTAGGACATAATTGGAGAAAAAAATATTTTAACTAATAATCAATGATTATCTTTAACAGCAATGTGTTCAGCCTGTTTTGCAAGTTGATATCAAAGGAAGTCCTCTAACTCTTTGATATGTTTCACATTCTATTTTCCTATTTCCCTATCTAATTTCTACTATATTGTAATTTATATTAAAAATAACTTAGACTATATTTTTCCTTTGTAGAAAACATTGTCATTTTTAAATAAAATCTGAAAGCATGGTGTAATATTTGTTTATGTTGACATTATAGAGAACTCTAAGCAATATAAATTATTTCTTATAGCTTCACATGTATTCATTTTGTAAATCAGTGAATATTTGGAATGTATTTTTGTAAGTTTTTGCTTGAATATGATTATTATGATTATTGTGGTTTTGTTTTCTTATTTTCCTATTTACTTACCTTTGAGGCAAGTTCTCCTGGCTCTTTCTTTTCTAAAAATCCTGGGACCTTTTTAATCTCTGGAAGTTCAAAACTCCATATATACTGTAATACTAGCAATAGATTTGCATAGACAACCATGAAAGGAGAGCTGATCATGGCATATTTTCTTCTGTTGCGAATCATCCAAAGAGTGCATGACCAAATCAATAGCACAAAAGTCAACCAGCTGTGATAGGTGATGCTCCAAGCCTCAAGAAAGGAAGAAAGAGAAAAAAACAATGGTTAACACAATGTACAGTCCTCCAATCTGGTAAGTAAAAAGTTATCTAAAAAGAAAAAGTCAATAATATTCAAACTAAGGAGAGAAGAAAGTTGTGATGACATCATAGACAGAGATCCCAACCTGTGGCATAAGGAGGGAAGAGAAGAGAAAGACTGATTCTTCTGAGAAGAACATTGTTTTTGAATTTCCTGTAGGGAATAGAGTTAAAGATAAGGGGTCTTCATTCCAAGTCCTTTTACCTCTAGCCCCAAAGGTCTTCATCTTTACCCTACTTTGCAATATTAAAAGCAACTGTAAATGTTTTGTCTCCTCTTTTTCCGAACTAGGTTAGAGTCAGCAGTTATTTAAGAGTGATGAATGAGTATGACCCACAGCTGGGCTCAGGAATGGAAGCTTTGGGAATTATGTTGGGCTTTAGGGATCACTCTTAGATGATCCACAAAGATATACATGATAGAAATTAGAAAATGAACATGAGGAAGATGTGTGTTAGGCTTCTGCACACCCCAAACAATAAAACCAATTTAATTTAAAGGCCATCCTCACCTTCTGTCCTATAAGGGGTAGGATTGAAAAGGCCTCACACCATTTGGACAAACAATATACATCTTTTTCCATTCCCACCAAACTTCCAAAGAATCAGAAATGTATCTAAAAGGGCAGGCAGATACCAGAAAAAGCTGTAAATCAGGCTCATGAGTGTTGTTAACTTCAGGAAATCTATCATCTATTACCATAATCTTTGATACTAAATTTTTGTGAAAAGACCTTTAAAAACATTTTTTTGATATATTTAGGGCTAATTACAATCAATCATATTACTGAACATCATTAATTATCAAGAGTTAGTTGTAAAGTCTGAAATGTCTTATAAGTCTGTTTTGCTTCTGAAAGCAGATAAGTATTAAGATAAATGAAGTCAGCATGGAACAAGCAAATATTTCCTCTCAACAAATTGCAAATTTGTCCTAAAGCACAGTTGGCTGTTTAAATGATGAATTATTTAAAATTGTTGGTTAAAACATGTAAGTATAAACTGAAAATTAAAATTGCTTTTATTAAAATTAGGGTAGTGATTGACAACTATGATCAAGTTGAATTATGTTCATGAACATATTATTTCTTAGAATATGTGTTTATCAAAGTTTAGGTAACATTTAATGAATTTGTATTAAATAATGTACTTAATGCATTTATCCCAATATGAAATGCAGATATGACTACCATTTTTTTGTGCGTAACTTAGAAAAAAAACCTTCACAGATATCATAATTCCAGCAGAATTTTTTTTCTGCACACTATTCTTGTTTGGGAAGGTGAGAGTAGAAGAGGGGGAAAAACAAGTTACGAGTGTTTTTTTCAACAACTTCCTTCCTCTTTAAAGCCTAAGTTACATATGCCTATCAGTTGTGGTAGTTGGGAAGTAGACTTTGCATTATGTTGCTTCCTATGTTTATATGTTCAGTGTCTGGATTTCCTGAGAGTTCAGTATATTTGTACTTCGTATTTTTTAATAAATACATATATTGTTCTAACAGACTTGGCTCCTTGGGGCTTCTCTTTCTGTCTGTGATTAAGTCTGCTGCAGTGGGGAGCTGCCATGGAAGACAGACACTTTTAAAACATTAATATTGTGGCACCACTAAAACAACAGAAATAGCACCGGATAAGGGCACGTCTGTAATGAAGGATCTGTTCTCTTATGTTGTTTTTACAATAGATTTTTTCCTAAGTAACAGAATGTGTATTCAAAAAATTTTAAAGCCCTATTTCTTTACAAAAAGAGATAAAACTTAACTGGCTTACTTTTAGAGAGGGAAAAGTGTACACACTTTGAGTTCAGAATCAGAATTGTAAATTGCATTTATAATATGTTTGATATTTTAAAATTGGAATTTTGCTGTAGTGCAAATTAAAGGTTGATATATAGAAAATATCAAAAAGTACCTAAAGAGTACAGCATTAATATTATTTAGAGAATAGAGTTTATAATTGTCAAAACAGCCATGTTTAATTTTGAGGAGCTTTCTGTTTCCCAACTCTCTTTCAGATATTGCAGTGGTCCTTACTAGAAGACTTCAAAATTGAGTCATACACGGGTTCATTTGGCAGACATCTTGACTGAAAACTGTGTTTAGGCATTTTTTTCCCCTAGAGTTATAGAACATTTTCATTTTTTATCATCAAAGATGTCCATGGGATCTCACCATTGACCACATAATTAGGAAGAGTTTTGTGTTAAATAAGTGTTAGGTTTCTCAAAAATAAATCAGATTTCTCATGAAGGTTTGTTTTTAGGAAGAGTAGAAATTAAACTTTCTTTTATCTTCTATATATAGGTCAAAGGACTTTTTTTGAAGCTGTGATGCTAGAGATCTTGAACACCTTCAATATCACTTAGGAAAACTACCCAATATGTCCTTTTAAATTGACAAAATAGCAGACAGTCTGACTTGATAGGCTAACTTGGTAGAAATTAATACTTAAAAGGAGGCTGAGTAGAAAAGGACATGATTTTGAAACTTATAATATAAAAATCCCATGAAAAATTAATATAACCAAGCATTCTCTGCCAAGACATTGAGAAAATTAAGATACTTGTGCTGCTATGAGCTGGATGGTGGAGCTTCCAGCCTGTGGGGCTCCGTGCACCATTCCTCCAGCACACTCATGGTGGCCTCTCATACATACCATCATAGCAATAAGGGCACAGATGTAGCTTTGTTTCATAATAAACTTGAACACAGAGACCATGGCGTGAACTTTCACACTTCTTTTTTCTTCATGGCTCCTTTCCTCTTCATATTCTTTCTCATCCTCTTCTTCCTCTTTCTTTTCTAGATGGAAAAATAGTTTACATCACTATTTATGCAAATTTATGAATTTTGTATAAATGTCCCAAGCAGTTCAGCTCATGTATAGGTTTTAGCATAGTCTTTTATTTAAAACGTCAGAAATTATTTCCAATTAACAAAGCCCTTAGAATTCAAACAGAATCATTAAGTTCTGCTTGGTTACTGTAATGGGGCTTGGCACTCAGAAATCAGAGGAAGAAAGTTTGGATTTGAGAAAGTGTGGTTCTAATGATCCCCAATTCCTGGTATTCATGCCCTTGTGTAACACTCTCTCCTTGAGTGTGGGTGGGACCTTTGATGGGCTTTTAACAAATAGATAGAATACTTGAGATGGAATACTACTTCGAAGGCTGAGTTAAAAATGTCTGGCTTTCACCTTGAGCACTTTCTCTCATTCTTTTACTCGTTCTGAGAAAAGCTAGCTGCCATGTTGTAAACTGCTCTATGGAGGGACCCAGGTGGCAACTGATGTCTCTGTCCAGAAGTCAGCAAGAGCTTCAGGCTTGCCAATGTGAGTGGGCATGGAAGCAAATTGTCCCCACACAAGTCCTTGGATGGGACCACAGCCCCAGCAAGCAGTTGCACTGCAGCCTCATGAGAGACCCTGAGGCAGAATACCAGCCTAGTCGCACCTGATTTCTGACTCATCAAAACTGAGTGACACCAAATGTTGTTTTAAGCAACTAAGTGTTACTCAGTAATAGTTAACTAATACACAGAGTATATAGGGTATGGATACAGAAAAGGTACAGAAAACCAAAAAACCTACCAATCAACTACTTTGCCAGAATGAGCTTGGTGGCTTACAGTTTCCTTTTAGGTCATGCTGAGGCAGAAAAGTCATACTGAGGATGGAAAGATGAGGTAAAAGCAAGAGAGAAAGTATGGAGGTCTACATTGAAGAGGAGACCTGCCATAGGAAAGCACTGGCATAGGTGTGAAGGGTTTCTCCTTGGGATCCCTCCTACAGTGGTCAGGAAAGCGATTTTAATTTCAGAAATGAAGTGATGAGTGATACACTAAGTAAAATGCCTTTTCTGTCTTCTTAAATGAAAAAGGCTACATAAAAATGGGTTACATCCCACTTAGGGAGTTTCTTAGTACCATGAAGTGGAAGCATAAATCATTGAAAACCCAGTGGCCATGCAGGCTCGGAAGTGAGCCCCTAAGTAGGCTGTGGTATTTCCTCCTGCAGAAGCCCATCCCTCTAACCCTGGGGTGGGAAGAGCCTGGAGTTTATCTGGAGAAGGCTAAGAAACTCCCTAAGTGGGATGTAACCCAATTTATGTAGCCTATTTAATTTAAGAAGACAGATGATGAAAAAACTAAATCTGATGGATTTTACAATTACTAGCATGCCACTTTTCTGGTAGTAACACTTTTGAATATATAGATTCAAATAAAATAACTTTCCAGCTTTTGTTTTACTTTTGAAAATTCAATTTATGATTTCAGTATATGAGGGTTTGCCTTGTCAACAGTCAAAATTCTGTTCATTTCTTTTCATGTTAAGTAAATAGAAGGATATTACTTGGCTGTGATCTGAACGTCTCAAACTTATAAGTCACAAATGCTGGTTCTTGGGTCTGCCCTTTGTGAACCTGATGCCAAAACTCTGAAGACCACACTTTGGAAAATATTGGGTTGCCGGAAAAGTCATGATGCATTTTTGCAACGAAAAACATAGAAAAAAAATACATCATGACCTTTCTGACAACCAATAGTATATTTCCTGAGACATTCAGTAAGTGAAAACCTTCCATTAAGCCCGAGTTGCAAACTTAAACATATGCATGTAGGAAGCAGAAATGGGCAACTAACCACTAGAGTCTGGTGTTCTGTAGAGATCGTAGGTGCCATCTGGGGCTGGACCGTGTGTGGGGAGGATCAAGGTGGGGTGGGGAAAATGAACTTGACCTGACTTTTCTGAGGAATGTTGGATTATGTGACTAAAGATTTGTACTGCTAAGTGATACACTGTCAGAGGCAACTGTAGTTCTTAATACTGATAAAGAACTATGAAGAACAGTACATTAGAAAAAGCCTGATAAAGAATTATAAAAAAAAAAGGGACATGACAGTAAGCTCAATGTACCCATAATGCAGATTGGATAGTTGTTGGCAGTTTACTAAATGTAAGGTAGTGTATAACAACTCTAGCTTTAATTCCATACAGATAGAAAAATCCACTATAGTTTTGTAGCTTGCTGATACCTACATGTATTCTGCTTTTTTTCCCCCTCAATAGTAAACTTAGCTAATTCTATCGTTATGAATTGGTGATTGGCATAGTCTCCGACAGGGCAATGACAACAGCAATCGAGTCAACTTCTGCCTTGCAGGGACTAATGTTCCCAGATATTCATATTCTTCAAGGGATTCCAAAAATTTCCATTTCTAGGTCAGAGCTGCAGCTTTTAAAATGTTGGTTACTATTTAATTTTTTAAAGAAAATACTCTGTGGGCCAAAAAACCAAGTCTGAGTATAAAATCTCCACCCCAGTCTACCAGTTTGTCAGCTCTAGTAACAGTCTGCTTTCCTTCAATATAATAAACTGATAAAAAAGGGAGGGAGGGGGAAGGCTGTGTACAAGTTTTGACCTTCTCCCTTTTTTTAAAGAAAAAAAGAACTCTTTCTGAAAACATTCATCCATTCACCTGAAAAGTTATTGACAATAATGATTGCATTATCAAATTATGGAAAGACTAAAACACACATATACACATAGATTTAATACTATAAATAATTTGACATGTTTAAGATCACTTTTTACCTTTTATTTTTCAAAGTTTGCCCTGATTATGCCTCTTATTTTGTAGACAAGGATAGAACACACATAGCAATATGTTGGGGCAGAATATAGGCATAACTTAAGGAAATGAGTTTAATTATACTGACCATGGAAGACAACATCTCTGTTAGAAAAAGGAAAAAAAAAAACCCAAACCAATCCAATAAACAATAAACGACAAAAAGATGCCAAGATGAGTTTATGCCTGAAAGGAATTAAAACACTTTAGTGTGTGACATGCCCTGCAGAGCCAGCTCCTTACCTGTAGAGTCCTCCGAGGGCTCCCACCGGTATTGAGGGGTGGAGTACAGCTCGGCTTTGGCGGGGCCATTCTCGATGGGAAGACTAGGATGGATGGTGTGGTAATCCACAGGATTGCCATTCACGGTCACCAGCAGGCCCTATGGGGGGAGCGTGGGACAAAGGCACACCTGTGACAACAGCTGCCATTTTCAATATAGACATACCACCTCTTTACTTTACACTGAGGCATAACTCAACAGTGAAGAACTGATTGAAAGCTGGACAATTTAGTCAACTGTCCACTGTGGCAAGAAGAATCGTGTCTGCTTCCTCTCCAAACCAATTCTTCAAAGAGTGATTGCAATCAAAAGTAAACCTGATCTTGTCCCACCTCTGCTAAATGCCATGCAATGCACACTCTGTTCTCAGTATAAAGTGTGAACTCAGGAAAAGACTGGCTGAGGCTTCATGATCTGGTCTGATCTCCTCTACAGCCTCTGTTCTCGTGGCTGTCCTCCTCCCAGCCATCTCTCCAGCTATAAGAAACTCCAGACCTTTCCTGGGCCCCGGCCAGGAGCATCACTGCGCTGGCCTCTTCATGTCCTGCCTCACAGCCCACTGGGCTCTTCACAAGGTTAATGCAACAGGTCTCAGCTTAGAAGGCACCCCCTCTGGGATCTCTGCCTGACGCTGCCAGCTTGCAGTTTCCTTATTGCAGCATGTCGTACACTAAGTGCTTTACTCCTTGTTTTTCTCCCTCTGTCTCTGGCTTTACAATGTTTTAGATATACATATAAATGTGCGCACACACACACACACACATATATGTGTGTGTGTGTGTGTGTCTGTGTGTCTGTGTATCCATGGATATGCAAGACTTCCTATTCAAGTTTTGTAATGGGCATATCTGCAGAGCAAAATACTTTCAAAAAACCCTCCAACATGGCTTTTTAAAAGTTTAAATACATTTTGTATAATTATACTCAAACTCATATGAGTCAGTGTTTTAATAGCAATAAACCAGATATAATTTCCACAAAATAATTATTCCAAAGCTTACAGAAATTTTATAGATCATTAAAATATACGCAAAAGAGCTAATTTGATTTATGTCACTTTTACATGCATAAATAATAATTCTAAAGATATACTAACATCAGATGGTTTGTAGTCATCTTGGGTCATGGATAGAAGCTGCAAAAAGCAATGTAGGACAGCATGTTAATATGTAAGCAAAAAAGCGCTATAATGTTTGTAGATATATATAAAGTTTTACTACATACATATCTCTTCTCTTAAACTAGCTCAATGCTAGTAGGTTAAAATTGCCATGCAAAATATAAAGAGGAGCTGCTGCCTGGGTGGCTCAGGGGATAGAGCGCACGCTCTTAACAACAAGGTTGCCGGTTTGACTCTCACATGGGTTGGTGGCTCCACCCCCCCACAACTAAGACTGAACTTGGCACCTTGAGCTGAGCAGCATGACTGGACTTGGAGCTGAGCTAGCTGCGCCCTCCACAACTAAGATTGAAGGACAACTTGGCTGTTCCCCTCCCCCAATTCCCCAATTTAAGAAAAAAAAATTGAAATGAAAGATTTGGGGCTGGCCGAGTGGCTCGTTGGTTGAGAGTTGGCTTGGGAGAGTAAGCTCTGAGCAGCAGGGCTGCAGGTTCGGATCCCACATGGGCCAGTGACGCTGTGCCCTTTACAGTTAAGATGGTGAACAACAACTCAACCTGGAGCTGGGCTGCCATGAGTCACGGGCGATGGTGTAGGCTGCAGCCCTTGCTGCAGTGGGCTGCCGTAAGCTACCGTGAGTGGCCAGCAGCCAGCATGAGCAGCCAGCAGCCAGCAGCCAGCAGCCAGCAGCCAGCAGCCAGTGAGAGCTGCCATGAGCCACCATGAAGGGCCGTCCAATGGCCGGCAACTGATCTGCCTCAGCCGGGAAGAGCGCAATGATGGTGCCAACTTGGGCCAGTGAAGCAACGTCCTCCACAACTAGACTGAAGAACAAAAGGACAGCAACTTGTCTGTTCCCGTTCCCCGATTCCCCAACACTGTTCCCCCCAATTTCCTAATAAAAAATCTTTAAAAAAATCTATCTATCTATCTATAGAATTGAACAAGGTGTTGCTGTGTATTATAACCATTTTCCAGTTCCTGATGTTACTTTTTTTTTTTTAACATTGTATTGTTGTTCAGTCTAGTTGTGGAGGACGTCGCTTCACTGGCTCATGTTGGTATTGTGATCATTGCGCTCTTCCCGGCTGAGGCAGATCAGTCACAGGCCATTGGACAGCCGTTCAAGGAGGCTCACGGCAGCTCACAGCAGCTTACGCAGGCTGCCCACAGCTCATGCTGGCTACCGGCCACTCATGGTAGCTTACGGCAGCCCACTGCAGCCCCACTGCAGCCTACGCCATCCCCGGCAACTCATGGCAGCCCAGCTCCAGGTCGAGCTGTTGTTTACCATCTTAGCTGTAGAGGGCGCAGCGTCACTGGCCCTCATATGTGGGATCCGAACCGGCAGCCCTTCTGCTCAGAGCTCGTGCTCCCAAGTCAACTCTTAACCAACGAGCCACTCAGTCAGCCCCTGATGTTAACTTTTAATTATAACAGCAAATAAGCCGTCTACATGATTTACTGACAACTACTTACAGTTGATTGTTTTTCAAGTGTTTTGCTCTAATAGATTAAGCTGCTTAATTTTGTACTCCTAGAACCATTTGAGACATCTGCAGAATTCTGAAAGTGTTTATTTTTCAAGAAATAAAATTTTCATAATAAAGAAAAATTGACTTGTGTGGCTTGAAATTAAGATTTTCATGCTGTCTACAACAAAATAATGATATAGCTATAGTTTTTAACCATATTAGTGTGAAGTGGTTTGGGTTCCCTCAAAATAATATACATTTGCTATGCCAACAGTTGCCCAGTTTTTTTTTCAGTACTCATTCACATTTTTTAAAATCACCAAGGGTCTCAAAGTGTATTTATTTATATAGGTCCAATCTAACAATATCTACCATACTAGAATATCTTTTTAATGTCTGGATTTAAAAAAGGCAGGTAGATTCCCATATCTGTTTTTGTATTCAATCTGTTGTGATATATTGTTTTGATTGAAGTATGTGAAAAAAATCTGGCTTCTCTAAACTATGAAGTTGGAAAAGGAAGGAGTATTTCAATAGTCTATCCAGATAATTGTGCATAGTTTTCTTTGATACTACACCAAACTCAGAAAGTGGTAGCAACTTGAAGGTTAGTTGTGCTGTGGAATCTGAAACCAGATCAATGAAAGTTTTCATAGTCTATTACATTAAAATCCACTTGATATACAGGAATACCTAGGAGATACTGTGGGTTTGGTTCCCAACCACCACAATAAAGTGAGTATTGGCATAAAACAAGTCATCATCTTTTTGCTGGTGGAGGGTCTTACCTTCAATTACCTCAAAAAAAAAACCACAACACCTGTGAAGTCTGATAAAGCAAAGTGCAATAAACCAGGTATGCCTCTATGTTACACTTTGAATGGATCTTTTACCCACACATTGTGTGTTGATAATTTGTTTCAGTGAGTTATATAGCTCTACCAAATATTGACACATTTCATTACACAATATTTAAAAAACACATTTTATTAATATCACCACTGATCTATCTCATCAGGGAAGTACTTAAATACTGGGAAGTTTCAAGCTTTCAGTAGTAGATACAAATTTTCCAATATTCTAATTTTCACTCAGAAGTTCAGATTTTATTATTGGCAACAATGCTGTCAGTTGATGCCTTGAAGTGACGGGCTTACTTCATTTATTGGGTTGTCAGAAAAGTCATGATGTATTTTTTCTATGTTTTTCGTTGCAAAAATAAATCATGACTTTTCCGACAACCTGACAATTGGTAATTGCCAAATACTCACACCTGAGCTACCACAATCTGCCTGTTCCTTCAAGTAAATTTGGTGTTGAACGGAAAACGGCTAGTTCAGTTCACACTTCCAACAGTGGGTCAGGTGCTTCTCATTGACACAGTTGTCATATTTTAGTACATGGCACTTTGTGTGGATTTCCCATTTTGTCACACAGAATATTAAAAAGATGTGTGCTCTAAGATTGAGAGTTAAGAAAATTAATAATTATTTTTGGTTCATCAAGGATTTTAAGTGGAACTAGCCTTTCTGCTTTGTTTTCTGCAGGTGTGTTTCCTTAAAGAGTTGACCACAGCTATCGGGGGTTCATGCCACTGCCTTGGGTTTGTGCTTTTGTACTATCAAAACAAATGTTATCACAGAGAAAAGGCAAATGTTTTACCTATTATTACAAAAACAGTTTTGAGCTTGTGGATTGCTGTAAGGGTTTCAGGAATCCCCAGATGAGCACAGACCTCACTTTGAAAACTGCTGTGCTATCCTCTGTTGACATCATCATTTAGTGAAATGAACAGGATTATCTGAAACGTGGTGTGATGAGACAGAGAAAAGGGCCCCTGGAAATGCTCAAACATCTTAGGGCACCACATCTGCTCCACTCTGCTATCAGTTCCTTAAGACAGTTCATTCATTGATCCACCCTCTCTCAGCACAGGACCGGAATGCTTAGAATAAGAGGATGAGCCTTAGAGAAACTCATTTGCCAACAAATAAGTCAGAGAATCTACTCCTTGATTCTTTAACATGCTAGGAAGCAAAGTGCTGACCTCACCCAAGAAATATGAGTATTTGTCATTACAACATTGCAAATGGGCCATTTTAACAAGTCAGTATAGCACTGACTGAGTTGAGTTCAAAATGGTCAATAAGTGATCAAAATATATGAATTACCCAATTATGACTTACTTTTCCTTGTCAATCGATACTGTTGCCTCAAAGTAGTAAGAGACACTTAATCACATTCATATAGTTTTGATCTTCTCTAAGTGGTTTCTTGAGTTATTATTGTGGCTGGCTACCCAATAGAGTGAAATTACTTTCTGCAATGTATTTCAACACTGAGATTGTCACAGCCCAGTGCTAACAGATTGCTTTGTCATTTTTTGTTTGCTTTAAATACAAAATTTTTTTTTAAAAACATAACTTTTTTTTAGGATTAAGAGATTTCAGTAGAAAGCACTGAAATATAAAATGTTGTCTGGTAGAGTATGGTGGAGTCATGGTATTTCCTTTGGAAGCACTGGGTTCCCCTCTTGAATAAAGCTCTCTGGTACCAAGACTTCAAAATCAAACCATTTCAATAAACCATGAGCAGTCTGAGTTTGCATATATTATATGACTCATATTCAGCAATATAATATAAAAACAGCAAAGTAAAGTAGGAAATGCAAATTCCTTTCTTTGTGCCTTACTTTTCTCTCCTCGGTTGGGTAATGGGTAGCATACCACAGGCTCCGCCTCCTCTCAGCCCTTAATCGTATGGGTCTACACACCAGGACTCCATCCTCTTCCTTGGTGCTCTCATCCTGCACCTGAGACACAGAATAACCCACAGGACCAGCTCTGCTTCCCAGAACATTTCCCTCAGCAGCCTGGGTGACCAGTGAAACTTTTCATCTTTGCCTCAACATGACTATTTTTTAAAAGCTAATGTATACAATATATGAGATTTTATCAAGACACTTTAAAAACATGACAAAAATGCTGTCCTTTAAATGTTAAGCTCTCATAAATTTCAATGATCCTGATTGCTACTAAGCCCCATAAATTATAGAAATATTCTGTGATGTTAAATATTCACAGCCTCTCAGTGTGTACTCTAAACTGCACGGAAAAGCAGCTATGTAAATTGTTCTTAAAGGAAGAGCTTTCAAAAACGTGCCCAGTTAACTATGCAACCCAGCCATGGTCAATCTTTAATAAAGAAGAAATTTATTAAAGGCAGAATCATCTAGAGCTTACACACAATATTAAGCAAGAACATATCTAATGCACAAAACTGTGGCCTTACCTAATGAGATATTGGCCTAAATTAGACAATTGGTCTGGGAGAGATGGTAAAGAGAGGGTATAAGGAACAGAATGCACCTGGGTAATTTAGTGTGGTTTTCCAACAAAGATGGCCCAATAAAAAAATTAACACGCCATTGACACTGGAGCAGGGGGAGGGGGCCTAGTCCCTAGGTTTGAGTGTGCCAGTGTACAGCACCAATGAGAACACTCAGACGCCCTGTGTGGGAAATCACAGTTGCCAGGTGGGAGCCCATAAATTATTATATTTAAGTCTGGACACCTGCTTCTCCCTCTTTCTCTCTTTCTCAAACATGTATTGTAGACTTTTACATCAGAACTTATTTTTCCTGGCTGGCATTTTTCATGAAATATACCAGGTCATCTGGAACTATGATATAATCAGCCACCTGTCTCCCATCATTGCCTCAATGAGAAAGTCTTGTGTCCTAACCCATTTAAAATGTAGACCACCTGAAACATCAATGCTAATATTAATTATGCCCTGTTTCCCACACCCCTCCAGACACTGTGATTTATAGTACCGCTATTAACTGTGTGCCTAGTAAAGTAGATTGTCTTCCTAGCTGTCTGCCTTTGTCCCCAGACAACCCATAGCTAAGAAGGCTGAATGTTTCATCAGCCGAAGGGGCTATAACAGCCTTCACCTTTATGACAGCATGACAGCGACAGTACACAAGTTCCTGCCATTCTGTGAGACTGCCTGAGATATAACAGAGAAAGCTAAGGGCACCAGGAACTTTATTAACTCGAATGCCTTAAAGTAATTTCCATAATTTGTAAAACATTGTTCAGAAATAGTTCCATAATATATTTTAATTTATTTTACACAAATTTTTACTTGTGCATATATCCATAGGCATTTTTGTTGAGGACACAAACACAATAAACACTATAAAGGATTTTACTAGCACACTCAAATTTCAGAAGACAATTGGAGAAACATGTAGCAGACGATGATTGGGATTCCTTATGACCCCATGAAGCATTTTGTTACTATGCAACTGCAATCAGTGGGCCCCAAAGAAAGGCGTTATATGAGAATCCTGTGAACAAGGATAGCCCCCATAGCCCTCACCCCCACTGCCCCGGCCTGTTATCTGCACAATGGGGAGGAGGTTTCATACAGGAGGGAGGACAGGAAAGAGCCCCGTTTTTGCAGGTGGCATTTCGGCAAGGGATGGATGGACACATACACTCACCCAGTTTCATTGTAACAACAATCTAACTCAGATCCCATTTGCTTCTTCTGAACAATTTCTCTTGTAGAATGTATAGTTCCTCCAAGTGGTGGCCTTGCCTATCAGTCCATGCTCTATCCCCAGCCCCCAGGTTAGTGTCTGAGACAGTTGACTTTTCATAAATATTTGTTGACCGACTGACTGAATGGATTAGTCTGTGGGTGTGGAAACAGGAAAGGGGAAAGTAGGCAACTGCACCAAGGCTCCAAGTTAGAAATCAAGTCACAAGAGGGGTCATGACTGATTGCAGAGACTTCAGCCCAGCCTCATTAGAACCTGACTCTAATACATGAACTCCTCCCCTGGCAGGTGGTAGATGAAAGGTGTGACAACTCTGTCTATATTACTTGCCTCCCTCTTGTACCAATATGCTGCCTTACAACATATTGTACCAATATGCTTCTTACAGTTATTTAGGCCCTATCACACCATTAGCAGCTAGAGGTCTGAGAAGATTTGGAAAACTCAAATCACTGTGATGACAGGATGGGTAGTCACTGAGACTCTAGCTTTTTTGTCAAACATTAGTTCGAATCTGATTTCTACTGTTTGTAAATGTGTGATGTCAGACCACTTTACCTCTCTAACCCCATTTTCCTCACCTCTCAGATAGGTATAATACCTATTCTTCAGAATTAGGTGGTGGATTGAATGAACTAATGCATGTAAACAGTCTAACACATGACCTGACACTTAGCAAGTGATCAATAAAAATGAGTCTTCCATTCTCCTCACCACCTACCATTCTTAGCAGCACACGTTGATATTATCAAAAGGAAGCTAATCTTTGTTCTGATAAAATTTTGTATTTACTTAGTACTTCTTGCAGAATCAAAACACTATAAGCAGACACTATAGTTATTTTGGAATATAGTATTGACTAGTCAGCAGTTAATAGGAATGAATCATTTCACCTGGAGTTTCCAGGTTACTTTGCAGACAAGATCACGAAAACCTTTTTATCCTTACAAGGGGTTCCTGTAGCCAGATTCGGATCAGAGTTGCCAGCGTGTAGTACATCACCAGCAGGAGGATGGGGTTGGCATGATGGTACCATGACAGGTCTGGGTTTGCCATGATCTTCCATGTGCTGGAACAGTCTGTTTGAATTATTGATTTGATACCAAACAACCTGTTTAAAAACAAAGAAAATTATTAAAAAGATGTAACAAAGATCTGTGTCCCTAATAGAAAAAACAAACTTGTTTTTAATACATTCATGAGCTACTCCTAGGTTAATCCATCCTATTCTAGATATTTCATTACTCTTCTGTATATAAAACTACATCTTTAAATAATATATGTACATATATAATATATACATCCTTAAATCATATATATGTATATTAGTGTGTGTATAAAAGTGATGCCAACATTGGTTCAAAAGGCTAGCTAATACTAAATCCTTGCACACCTATTAGAAAGTTATGTTTTAATTGTCAATTAGCCCTATTAAAACCATGTTTTATTGAAATGTTGGATAAGTAGTAACATGCTACTAAATCCAGCTAAATGAGCACATAATTTGTCTTTGGTAGGAGTTAGCATTAGCTATTCAGTTAGTGTTGATGTTATTGGGAAAATGTTGAAACTGGACACAATTCTATGATTCATCCATTAAAATCAGATACTGTATACTAGAGTTTCTGTTAGTTATATTTCTGTTGAATTTTATTTATGGGTAATTTGATTTTTTAAAAGCTTTGTAATTGATTATTTATTTTGAAATGTAATTTTATGAGGCTTCTTAAATTCTGACTTTTTATGTTGCATTCTATTGGGTTGTCGGAAAAGTCATGACATATTTTTTTCTATGAATTCCGTTGCAAAAATGCATCACGACTTTTCCGACAACCCAATACTATATAATCAGAATATATTTGATTATATAGTAGGAAATTATGTAATATAAGATTCATTTAGAAATTTATTTTATATAAATTTTTTTCTAAGATAGGACTCTACTAAATGAATAAAACTTTTACACATTAAGTGAGTCTCAAATCTATCATTCAGATCTTCTATATGAACTTCCTTTCATTTTTATGTTACAGTCTTCATTCACTTGTAAGATCTTCCAAAGACTACATGACACTCGTAAAACCTCTCAGGGCTATCACTATTACCTACCACAAGACAAGTGAAGCACTGGTGAATTTCTGAACTAAATTTTAAAGTAAGCGAAATGGAAATTAAACTTTCTTTAATTTTATCAGAAAAAAATAAATTATGCTAGAACTTGCTCTTATTATACAGGTCTTTTCTTCTAGGTCCAGGCAGATTTTTTGTAGTTAGCATTAGAAAGAAAAAAATTTCTGATAATAAAAGGTATGTCCTACTTAGAATGGTGGGACATTTTTTTAAATGTTTTGCAGTCCTAAATCAAAATGTAATTCTTTTTTGTATAAAGTACCCACAGTCAAACGCTTTTAGATTTAGAGTTAGACAAGCTGAATAGTCTCTGCAATAATATAAGCAGTATGTTTCAGCTACCAAGTCTTCACTCTTCTCATCCCATACCTGGTGTATACATTAGAAATAACTTCATCAGTTGGAGAAAAAAATGGCCGCAGTAAGGAAGTCACTGTGTTAGTTCACGCAAACCAGGCAATTTTAGCAGCGAAAACACAGTTCTGCGAGGCACGCTGGGCAGCGGAAGGACTCCCACGTGGACTACTTGGAGGTGGGCAGACCTGGCGGTTTCGGGAATTGGGAGGCGAGGCGCGTGGAGACACGGGCGGCGCCGGGTCTGCTGAGTCCGGGGATCTCGGCAGATCGGAAACTTCCCTTGCCTGTCCTCCAGCCCACGCGCGCTGAGGCAGAATCCTCGGGACCTCGTGCATCGCAAATCGGAGGAAGAGGGCATGTAAACGGAGACAGATTGCTCGCACCCACGGTGGCTGAGACGCCGGATCTCAGTAGATTGGAGTGTTCACGGCTCTATCCCTACCCCTCCAGTGTGCATGCGCTAAAGGCAGAATCCTTAGGCGGGGCGCGAAGCAGAACGCGGGCATAGTCTGTCTGCTCGTGCAGCTGCAGAGCTGCGGGAATCCAGGACAAGGCAGACAGTTTTTGCAGCATCTGGACGCGCTCAGCCTCTGGTGCTGACCGTCCCGCCTGGTGTTTGTCAGGATTCACAGGGCGCAGTGGCTGGGGCAGAAATCCCAACCCGGGAGGAGAAGAGGGAAGCGAGAAGCGAGAAGCGTGGAGATGCAGCCCACCCCCTTCAATGGTGGCGAGAAAAGCAGCTTAACCAGGGGGTGCCTGGTTGGAAGGGGAATTTGTTTTGGGGTTTTTTTGGTTTTGTTTTGTTTTTCTCTCTTTCTTTTTATCCTCTTTTATCCCAGATAGGGAAGATAAACTGCATAGAAAAGTGCACACTCCCACTCTCCCTTGGAGTCCTTGTCCCCCTCCCGACCAGATCTGGAAACGGATTGCTGAAGAGAGAAAGAAGCCAAAACAAAGGTGCTTCAACTCCCTGGGGGTTGAGTAATTTACATGAGAAAAGGCTGCAGGTGGCACAGGAAGGCCTTCCAGCAGCTCTGAAAACCCCAACCCCCACCCTCCAACAGTCCCAGTGGAAAAAGCACCCGCACATCCAGTCCTCCGCGCAGGAACCTGAGTGACTCAGGACAGACAGGAGCAGAAATAACACTGACTGTAAAAACCAAAACAAAACAAAACAAAAAAAACTCCCAATCATACCTCATAACTCCACTCATCTTAAATAGTCCTATATTAAGGCGGTTAGCTCTGCCCCCACAAGACACAGAGCAGGTGTGTGTTTTTCTCCCTTTTTGGTTTTTGTTTTGTTTTGGTTTTGTGTTTTTGTTTTTCTTTTTTCGTTTTTGTTTGTTTGTTTGTTTGTTTTTTAATTTTGATTGTTTTTAGTTGGGGCTTCTTTTGGTAGGTTATATTGGTATTGTTAAGTGGGTTCTCTTGTATGCTCTGGGGTCTTGATTTTTTGTTTCCCATTGATTGCTTTCATTGGTTGTTTTTGGATATTTCTATTTTATTGGGAATTTTAGTTTTTTCATATAGGCATATATAAAGGTGCATATATGTGGATATATATGTA